GAAGCTTGACTGCAATCCATGTATACAAAAATATGATGAAAACAGTGGGCAGTGCTCCCTGGGAATTAGAGCAGCAGATTGTTCACACACAACATTTTAGGCTGCCACAAAATCCAGGCAAAGTCATCATCTGGTTGACTTAAATACAGGTAGTCTTCGACTTGCAATGGTCCTCGTTTAGTGACCATTCGAAATTATGACGGTGCTGAAAAAAGTGACTTACAACTTTATGATCATTGCAGCAGCCCCATGATCACATGATCAACATCTTGGCAACTGGCATATATTATTTAAAAATGCTTGGCAACTGGCATGTACTTAAGACGGTTGCAGTGTCCCAAAGTCACATGATCACCATTGGCAACCAGTTCTGACGAGCAAAGTCAATGAGGGAAACCAGATTTGCTTACTCTGTGATTCACTTAACAAATGCATTGATTCTCTTAACGATCATGGCAAAAATATCATCAATGGTCTGTGATTCACTTAACAACACCTTGCTTAACAACAGCAATTGTGATCCCAATTGTGGTTGTAGGTCAAATACCATCTATAATAAACTTTCTTTCTTTTCTCTTTTGTTGTTCTCTTGCAGCTCTCAGCCACCCTGACCATCCCTTTCTGGCAGTGGTTCCTTATACGTTTTGGGAAGAAAACGGCTGTTTACATTGGCATCTCGGTGAGTGAATACCAATAGTCCTCATCTTATTACCGGTCACTTAGTGACCATTCAAAGTTACAACAGATCCCCCAAAAGGTACTTACGACTTAATTTCAATGTTACGATAACTGCTCCCCTTATCCCATGGTCATCTGACTGCATTTTGAGCATTTGGTAACTGGCCTGCATGTATTACAGTTTGAAATGTTTCAAATCAAATCGATTGTGATTTACAACATTTTTTATTGCCAGAAACCAGGTTTTACTTTCAGTTTCCAGCAAAAAATGCTCATTGGCCAAAATGGGTTTGTTTAACAACTGCTGTGTTTGCTTTAAGACCATGGCGTTCGCTCAGCAACCACAGTGTTCATTTAACCACCGCTATAAAAAAAGATCGTAAAATCAGACATGAACACAGGGTGACCCGCTTAACGACTGGCACTCAATTATGGTCCTAGTGGAGAAATAATTTAGTCCTATGACCTGCTTAGGTAACTTCTGAAAGAGGCCTCCATGAAAATCCTTCAAATAATGATTCAAACGCATGCAGCTGTGAGACTTAAGGCTCATGCCGGGGTTTCTCTGGGAGCTATTAATGGTGCAGCAGAAACTGAAAGTTTCTTTTGAAAACATCCGTTTTTGGACAGGGCTAAGGCATGTTAGCAGGTCCATCCTGGTCCCAGGTGTATCCTTTTATACTTTCAGAGAACAAACCCTGAGAATCTGACTGTGACAGTCTCAGACAGGATGGGGTTAAACTGGGATGCCCATACCTTTCTTGTTGGTGGAAACAGTGGCCTTGTCCCAAAGGTGCTTTTTCAAGAGGCAAATGGACTTTCTGTTTTTTTCTTTGAAGACGTTTCGCTTCTCATCCACGAAGCTTCTTCAGCTCTGACTGGATGGTGGGGAATGGAAGGATTTATAGTACACCTTGCAGACANTGATGCATTTACCCAGCCATTCTGGTTAATTTATCGTCCAGTGTATTCTGTGTAACCCCAAAGTTAGCTTTAACTAAAGACCCAGGTCAGTGGGTTGTTGGAACATGATCAAAAGGTCCCTCTTTTTATTATTATTATTATTAATTTTTTATTAATTGCATTTCTTCATGCTTAATAACATCTTAACAATGCATATTACATTCTTAATCTCCCCCTCTTTTTCCCAACCACTGATAAAATAGATTCCATGTTTGATAATATTCTATATCTTCTTTCTGTTTCATTTCTAATGTCAATCTGTCCATTTCTGCACAGTATCTTCTTAATGATTTCTTCATCTCGTGGTGTTTCTTCATTTTCCCAGCATTGTCCTTGCTGCTGTCAAGACGTGCAATATTAAATACACACTTTTTCTTATCAAGTTTACCTGATATTATACCTAATAAAAATAGTTCAGGTTTAAAATCTACATGCTTTGCCAAAGGGTCCCTCTTATGCACAAGCAGTGAGGGGAGTCAATAAGGGAAGCAAGGTCAGAATTATGGGCACTGATGTGATTCAAATGGGTATTAGTGTCTGTCATATATGTACCATATTTTTCGGCGTATAAGATGCACCAAGATTTTTAAAAAGCAAATGTAAAAAAAAAGTTTTTGCACTCTGCAGACCTCCCAAAATGGGCCTGTTTTTGTCAAAAAAGGGCATGCATAGCCTTTAGGAGGCCTATAGAGTGCTCCTGGAAGCTAGGGGGGCGCAAAAATGAGCAAAAAATTGCCTGTTTTCACTCATTTTTGTCCTCCCCAGCCCCCAGGAGCACTCTGGAAGCCTCCTAAAGGCTATGCATGGCCATTTTGGTGAAGGGGGCGGAGTTTTGGGAGGCCAAAATTGCTGCATTCGGTGTATAAGATGCACCCAGATTCTAACCATCTTTTTTGAGGGGAATCGTCCTTGACTTTACGGGAATCAGAATTTCCATTGCTAAACAACATGGTTGCTGAGCGAGTTCCACTCCATATTTTGCAATGGTTGTTAAAAGATAAAAACAAAATAGCATACTATTTTAAACTGTGCTAGTGTTGTACAGTAATTTCTGACCATATTCTAGTATATCAACTGATCTATCATTCTAATACCTACATTCTAATACATAGTACATAATGTCTCTTTCCATATCCACCTAACCTGACTCTTTCGCATTCCCACTTCTAACCTCGTGTTTCTAACCATTGATAGAAATTATCCCACATAGCATAGTGTTCTGTATCTCCTTTATCTTTTATTTTTAGCGTTAGTCTGTCCATTTCCACACAGACTAGTATCTTCCTTATCGTCTCCTCCTCTGAAAGAGTGTTTTCACTCTTCCACTGCTGCGCATACACAATTCTAGCTGTGAATTTTGCTCTCGCATGATTGACCGTGGGGATGCTATGTTGGCCATAAGTGAGAGGAGCAGTTGAAAGTCCTTGTTGCAACTTTGAATAGTCACTGAAAAACAGGTTGTAAATTGAATTCTCTTTATTCCAGCAGTGGTAGTAACAGCATTGTGAATGTTTAGAAGTAGGCCAGGATCAAAACCATGGAGCGCATTAAAGAGGAGGATGAAAATGCCACGCAAATGGCTATTCTCCTCTATTTTTTTTATTTCAAATGCAGTCGGACTGTTACAACTCTAGGCAGGGAGAGAGGATTCAATTCCCCACATTGAAAGAAAATCTCTCCGTCTGCCGTGGACCAGAAAGTCACAAAAGGGAGAGGCTAATATGCAGGTTTTCTGTATGCAAAGCTGCTGCCTTCTTCCCCATGGAGTCTTTTGCCCGTCCAGATTTCTGAGATGCTATTAATATGCAGAGCAGCCTTTGGGGAAGAGCCCAGCTGAATGGGAATAGCAACTTCAAAGCAGCCATTTTTAGCTCATTCCTATGGACGTCAGCGGCTAAACTTTATATTTTAGGCAGTCTGGTCATGAATGGGAGAGAAGCTCTTGAGGAACGCTGAAACTCTCTCAGCCAAAGAGCCCTTGCAAACCCCCAGCCACCGCTGCCACCCCCACCCAGCCCCCCTTTCCCCTGGGAGATTAAGACTTTGTCTGGGCAACAGCAGCGGGAGGGGGAATGAAAAGACGAGAGTCCAGTCGGCAGTCGGAAGCCAGTCTTGCATTATTCAAGGAATAGACGGCCAATCTCTTCTCACGCTTTTGCTTTTTGTTTTTCCCCCTGGATAGGCTTCCAAACAAAGCTTCGGTTTGCTAACAGCTGCTATTTATATTTCCTAAGAATGCTTATGCCGGTCCAAGGGGGTGATTGAACATAAAAAATGATGCTAGACTTTTTTTCCCCCAAAATTTTTTATCCACTTACATACCATTTTAAGTATACATTCACATATTCTTCTTTACATTTGTCATAGGTTATAATATACAGTTTGAGTTGCTTTATTTACCATCTCTTCCGCCTGTTGTAGCACCACCTTATTTTCCCTTTCTTTTCTCCCTCCTTCCCTTCTCTTCTTTCATCCTTCCTCCTCTCCTTCCCCTTCCTTCTTCCCTTACCTTTCTCCTACTCCTACTCTTCCTCTTCCCCTTCCTACCCTGCCTCCTTCTCTTTCTCTCCCTTCCATCTTCCTCTCCTTACCTCTTCCTTCCTTCCCCCATCTTCCCCTCATTCTCTCTCCTCTCTCCCTGTCTTTTTCTATTGTTGTAGGTGTCTCAAAATGATGCTAGACTTTAACCCCCCCCCCCAATCTCTCTGCTCCACCTGCTGTTTGTGAAAAGTTTTGGGGTTTTTTTTCCCACAATGTAAAAGAAACTTTTCGCAAACAGGAGGTGGAGTTGAAAGTTTGGCATAAAAGAATATATAGGGATGCTCAGAGGAGCCACGTTGTTTCCTATTTCAGCCTTGTGACCTTGGCATAAAGCACATTCTTACTGTGTTCTCATAACATGCTTCACCTTGTGCCTGAATTAGCCCGTTTCCCGAGTTGCCACAATACACTCAACATCAACTAAAAATAAAAATAAAACTAAACATAAGCAAGGAAAAATGACTGAGGCAAAACTAATTGTGAATCTCTAGCTGCCTCGTGTCATCAAATTTAAATTCCTTCTTTGGGGAATCTAAACCTGCTTCTGGTCTACAGGGAGTCCTCGACTTATAAACATTCATTCAGTGTCCATTTGAAGTTACAATGGCACTGAAAAAAGCAACCTACAACCATTTTTCACACTTAGGACCGTTGCAGCATTGCCCATGGTCATGTGATCAAAATTCAGACATTGGCAACTGACTCGTATTTATGACGGTGTCAGTGTCCCGGGGTCATGTGACTCCCCTTTTGCGACCTCCTGACAAGCAAAGTCAATGGGGAAGCCAGATTCACTTACTGTAACAACCGTGTGATTAACTTAACCACAGCAGTGATTCACTTAATGACTGTGACAAGCCAGATTGTAAAATGGGGCAAAACTCACAACATCTCTCTTAGCAACAGAACTTTTGGGCCCAAAGGTGGTCGTATGTCAAGTCTATAGTTAATAGTTTCAGCCTTTCTGCTTCTCTTCTTTATCAAGTAGGAAGAGAGGTCAATAGATGGGGAAGAAATGGAGGTAGTGACAGATTTTATTTTCCTGGGCTCCAGGATCACCACAGATGGGGACTGCAGCCAAGAAATTAAAAGACACTTGCTCCTAGGGAGGAAAGCTATGGCAAATCTAGACAGCATACTAAAAAGCAGAGACATCACCCTGCCAACACAAGTGTGTATAGTCAAGGCTTTGGTTTTCCCAGTTGCAATGGATGGCTATGAAAGTTGGACCATAAGAAAGGCTGAGTGCCAAAGAATGGAGGCCTTTGAACTCTGGTGCTGAAGAAGACTCCTCCAAGTCCCTTGGACTGCAAGGAGATCCAACCGGTCAGTCCTAGAGGAGATCAACCCTGACTGCTCTTTAGAAGGCCAGATCCTGAAGAGGAAACTCATAGACTTTGGCCACCTAATGAGAAGGAAGGACTCCCTGGAGAAGAGCCTCATGATGGAGGGCAAAAGAAAAAGAAGGGGACGACAGAGAATGAGGTGGCTGGCTGGAGTCACGGAAGCAGCAGGCATGAGCTTAAATGGACTCCGGGGGATGGTAGAGGACAGGACCTAGCA